CTCAACGGACAGGCAGACGTGCAAAAATGCTCAACCCTTCCTCATATCTGAGAGGGCATTCCCAACGAAGCCTCTCGAAATACTCAACTTTCTTTCCCCCCGATAATCCCTCTGCAAACAAGCTACACCAGAGCAAGAATATCTCATATCATCAGGGTTAAAAGCAAGAGTATCCCATATCATGCTTTTTCCCTGTCTTTTCCTTTGGCCTTGTTCTTACCTGCAAGACAAGGAGAAAGAGAGCAATCAGTCAGCACTTGAAATCAAGCTTCTAGTTAGGAATTGACTGCCTGGAACCCCTTACCTGATTACTTACCTGGCATTGCTCTCGAGTACTCATCTTCAACATCTTATGCTTCCAGAGAAGATACCACATCTGCCTGAGGAACAGATAGGGAAAGTGAGAAGGATACAAGGAAGCATGTGGAGACAAGCGTAACAGAACACGTGCCGATACATCCATTATTTTGTCAACAACAAAAGTATCCCATATCAGCAGGGTCGAACGTACTCTAGATTTGATGGACTTGTTTTGACTCAAATTCTTCAGTCGGCCTTATACTCTGGAGAAAACCAGAAAATCCTCCAGCCCAGTTCAAGAATAAGCCTGTGGAAAGTTACTTCTTCAAAAGCAAAAGTATCTCATATCATCTGTTCTCCTTTTCTTCTCTTTATCCTTCATGCTGCCTGCAAGATAGGGAGAATGAGAACAATCAGCCGGAACTCGAAATCAAAATTCTGATCTGGGACTGATTGCTTGGAGCTTTGTTTGCTTACCTTGTCTGTCGTCTCTTTCAGCAGATCCCCTAGCTCGGCGACTTGGGGGACTCCTACTATATGGTTTGTATTGCGCTTGACCAAGCCTGAAACTACAAGTAAGCTTCAAGTGAAATTGATACATTACCTTGTGCATCTCCACTAGTTAAAGATAACACCCCTGGATGGAGGAAGAGTACTTCCAGAGAAGATGCCACATCTACCTATGAGACAGATAAGGCAAGTGAAGATGAGAGCTTGAACCTATGTCATTTGTACTAAATAATTCACTTGTACTCACTAAAGGAGAGCTTGAACCTATGTACTTGTGTAAACCCTTCACAATTAATGAGAACTCCTCTACTCCGTGGACGTAGCAAACCTGGGTGAACCACGTACATCTTGTGTTTGCTTTCCTGTCTCTATCCATTTACATACTTATCCACACTAATGACCAGAGCAATCTAGCGAAGATCACAAACTTAATACTTTCTGTTGTACCAAAGTCCTCACTGATTTTGTGCATCAACAATCCTTAAGTCCTTACCTTTTTGCGTTGGTAATGGATGAGTTAACAGGACATATTCAAGATGATATTCCTTGGTGTATGCTTTTCGCAAACGATATAGTGTTGATGGATGAAACTCGGGAGGGGTAAATGCGAAGCTTAACCTTTGGAGAGAAGTGTTGGAATCTAAAGGTCTTCGCCTAAGCCGATTAAAGACAGAATATATGGAGTGCAAGTTCAGTGCAAATGGAGGCCAAAATGAGTTAGGGGTGAAGATCGGAGATCAGGAAATACCAAAAAGCGACCGTTTTCGCTACCTAGGATCTATCTTGCAAAAGAACGGAGAATTAGATGGAGATCTCAACCATAGAATACAAGCTGGATGAATGAAGTGAAAGAGTGCATCCGGCGTGTTGTGTGACCGTCGTAGGCCATTAAAGCTCAAGGGAAAATTTTATAGGACGGCAATAAGGCCGACGATGCTGTATGGCACAATGTTGGGCGGTGAAGCATCAACACATACACAAAATGGGTTTGGACATGTGCAAAGAAGGCCTACTGACGCTCCGGTTCGAAGATGTGACTACGGGTAGAGGTTCAGGGCCGAAGGGGTAGAGGAAGACCTAGGAAAACTTTGGAAGAGACCCTAAGAAAAGACTTAGAGTACTTGGATCTAACGGAGGACATGATACAAAACCGAGTGCAATGGCGTTCTAGGATTCATATAGCCGACCTCACTTAGTGGGAAAAGGCTTTGTTGTTGTTGTTGTAGAGTGATTACGGCATGATCACCCACATACTAGTGCATGTTAAAACATTGTAACCCACTGCATCACATAAAATCGTCGAAGTCCTATCCTCACTTCTTTGAGGACGCGAATGGTCTATTCTATGTCGTTTTGCTCTATTGAGAATTAGAGAGTATGTTCTTTTCAAAAGAGAATCTGAGTATATTCTTGCCTTGTGCTGTAATATAAATAGATTGCTTTTCTTTAGTGCTAATAGTTGTATTATGCTTTTTCTATGTCATTATCTACATGGTTCTTTCTTTCATTCCTAAAAGTTTCCATCAGTCCCAAACTATTGTATTTGCTTTGCTTATTTCTGTCCTGAATAATTATTGCTATTTTACTTATGAGTACACTACAAATATGACCAAATGAATATTACTTTTTGAATCCAGTTGTTTTCTTCTCCCACACTCATGAGCTCTGTCGGTATGCCCTCCGCATTACATGTCAATTCTTAAACCCTTCATGATAGCTAAATAAAGCGTTCATGTAATCAATGCCAAGGGAGCTGTTAATAATTTACATAACGAGAAGAAATTGTAGGAACAATAGGTACTCAATTTAGTTTTCTTCTATTGAGAGATTTTATTTTGACAACGATGGTAATAGAAACTCTATTGGAGTCTATACATTGTCCATATGCTATGGTGATTATTTCAGAAAAAGAATTCTTTCGAAGCCAGAGTTGTAATCGAGACTCTTTTCAAATGATTCTTTATTGGGTCTGTTTTTCAAATGACTTTGGGTATAAAACTTTCGTCCTCCATTTAATTCACTTTTCGGTAAAAAGTGAAAAAGCAGTAATCAAAATGTTATGTGTTAGTTCATAGTTATCTATCTATGGGTGTGTGTGTGTGTGTGTGTGTGTGTGTGTGTACACTTATCGTATGCGCATCATGTCTTTATGTCTGTATGCACACATGAATGGAGGTTTTCAGCTTTCACATAATTCTTAAATTGAGCATGGTAAGAGTGATTTACTTGTAAATTTCTCTTTTTTATTTGTTACGACTTATAACTACTTGCATCAAAAATAATTTTTGCCATTGGGTTTACAGGAAATGGTGACCGCTCTATTCCAGAAGGTGATAGTGAACAAGAAAACTATTCTTCTGAAAACTTCAGTGACGCTTCATCCTCTGACTGGAGAGAGGTCAGAGCAAGGCTGTATACTATAGAGCAGGTGAAGTTTTACTTTCCTGAAGGGCTAATGTCCTCTGAAACTAAAATGCATAATAATCATGTTCTACACAATACTCATCAATATACTACTCTTCCCTTATTTAGTTAATCGTTTTTTCTTCCAAGGTGATAATAAGACTTACTGAATTTCGAATCATCTTGTTATGGATTAGTTCACGTGTTATTGACCCTTTCAGTTTGTAGGTGATCGGTCGGGTTGCTGATACAATTGGTTTCTCTAGGTCGAAAATTAAATGGCACTTAACACCCAAACGGACCATGCGACCCTCACATACACCCATGTTTAGGCAAAGAAAACTCACCCACACAAACCAACCATATCACAAATATCATACGACAGCCAACCTCATCTCAAATATCATATGACAAGAATACACAAAGCAAATCACAAATATATATTTGTCTTGTCTCCCTTTTGTGCATTTTATTTTCTTTAGTGTTCTAAGTTGATTGTTACAGACAGCTTTGTAGAAGTTTTGATACCCTACTGTAGACTTCTTCACATCGGGTACTGGTCTGTGGCCTTTTGGTTATGAGTGACTCAGTCCATAAATAGTTAGTGAGTTTTCTTCCACCTTATTTTGATCCTATGCATCCCAAGTGTTGCATTGATCAAATCTAATGGCTGGAGCAAATAAGTGCCCTTGTAAGTTTGTTGGTCCTCACATGGCCCTAACATAACAATTTCTAATGATGATCCTCCATTAATTTCCAAGTTTAATTGGAAACTTTCAACAGGAAGAAAATGCTGAGTCTGATGCTCAGAACCAAGGTGGGGCACCCCACCAGTCGAAACCTCTTGGCCTGAAGTGGGCTCATCCTATTTCCGTACCAGAGACAGGCTGTGTCCTTGTTGCCACAGAAAAGCTTGACGGGGTTCGTACCTTTGAAAGAACTGTTGTTCTCCTCCTCAGATCAGGAACCAGACACCCAGAAGAGGGACCATTTGGAGTTGTTATCAACAGGCCACTCCATAAAAAGATTAAACACATGAAGCCCACGAATCCTGATCTTGCAACCACATTTTCTGATTGTTCGTTGCATTTTGGTGGGCCTCTTGAGGCAAGCATGTTTTTGTTAAAAAGCGGGGGCAAGTCAAAGCTCCCTGGGTTTGAAGAGGTGATCCCTGGCCTTTGTTTTGGTGCTCGTAACAGCCTGGATGAAGCTGCAGGGTTAGTAAAGAAGGGTGTTCTTAAGCCTCAAGATTTCAGATTCTTTGTTGGCTATGCTGGGTGGCAGCTGGATCAGTTGGCAGAGGAGATTGAATCGGATTATTGGTACGTGGCTGCCTGCAGCGCAAATTTGATTTTTGGGGCTTCATCGGAGTCCTCACAAGAAAGTTTGTGGGAAGAAATTTTGCAGGAAATGGGTGGCCAGTATTCTGAAGTGAGTCGAAAGCCGAAGCAGGATATGTAGCTTAATTTATGAGCCTATTCGTGCTCACTAAACAGAACCTAGTTCTAGAGTTTAAGCAAATCGTGCAGTCGATGTATATGTTTAAGCCAGTTGTACAGAAAGTTTGCTGGCTTTTCAATTAGTACATCTCGTCTTGTTTCATTTCTTCCTTGTTATTTCGTTCTTTCTTTCTTGTTGTACTTTTTCAATAAAGTTATGCTATTTATGGTTTTTGTATGCAAAATGTCATCTTAACTCAGCTGAAGACATGCACTGCAGAAGTTCTTTGTCTGCAAATTATTTAGAAATTTTCCAGTTGAGTCTAAAGTTCAGTACTCGGGGATCGATTGCGAGACAACCACAGATTGATTAAGACGTTAATGAACGTAACATGATATCGAGCGTGTTCCTATCTTACAAGAAAAATGAATCATTAAGAGAAGAAAATTGTTATCTTACAATGTACATAAACAACATCCTTCTCTGTACTGTACAAGGCGAAAGCTCCAAACCTATAAATTGTCCAGGAACCAACAAAAAACCAAAAGTTCCTTCTCGGTTCTCTTTTGCGCGGTACCTTCATCTTCGCTAGACCTCCATGCTGACATTTCTCATTGGTTTTCGTAGTTAACTAGCAAACTTGGCGGGTGCAAGCAGCTGTTTCTGGTGAGCACTGAGCAGATCAGCATGGTTATAGAAGAGGCAGCAGAATGTCAATCGTTCAGGATCACCGAGGTATGTCTTTTATGGTCATCATCAAAGGTCTTCATTGGTCCTGGCCTTTGTCAACGTGCTCGTGCTTTACGTACAGCATGCTGGATTTGTCTTTCGTGCTCTTTGAGCATGTCCTCAAGATTTCCCCCCGGAGGCACCAATGGTCCAGAGTAATGGATTCTGTTCTTAGGTACATAGCACTGAAACCATACAAATAAGTTAGTTCATTGTTCATGACTACTATCGTACAAGAAAATAAGACAACAATCAGAAAAGAATCTGAAAAGAGGAACGAAAAAAGCGCGTATGATCAGTATCACTAAAAGCGTGTGCAGTCTTTCGTAAAATACGCTCCATTGTGCTAAAAAGTCACGTCTAAACTTATTTTAACAAGCGGAACAAAGATTAAGAGATCATTAGCCAACACTACAATCCTTGATTAGCCAGCAACTTTGAAAGAAGAAAAAGCTTAAGAAGGTGAGATGAGTGCTGAAAAACAATTCCTTACCCTTCTGGATTCTTTGCTAGCCACTGTTTCATCTTTCTTACTGGAAGAACTTGATAAGTCTGCTGCAGCTTGAGGCATGTGAGATCTCTGCGACTTTAACTCTGGCCTACTTGTATAACCTGCTGTCTTATTCAATGATGATCCAACTGCACTAGGGTGTACCATTGAACTACAAAGAGAGTACCCATTTGGTCTCGCTCCTCCAGGTGGTTCCATTGCAAAGCCAGAGACACTATCTCGCTGGGGCGTGTACTTGTGACCTGTCGTTTTCAGGTTTCTCTGTCCCTGCTAAGTTTATGTTAGCCAAAAGAGTGAAGCTCAAAATATAAAGTATCGACGATTGAATAAATGGTAGATGTGTCAAATTCATTTTTATACCTGCAAAGATACATCTCCCTGAACATTAAATTCTGGTGATGGCCCCTTGGTATCTCTTGAACCCCCTTTAAACGCATCGGCTTTTCGCCTGAAATTTAAGAAAAGACAAATATGAGCTCAAGAGAACATTTGACAGCATCGCCTCCTGGAATGTTTCAGTAGTTTTTTTCCATCCAATCTGAAAGAAGATGGATTTTTTAATCGAGGCTCAGATCATTCTGCAGACTTATTTATCTTTAGTTACAGCTTATCTGATATTATTTTCTGTTAGCGGGCACCATGTCATCAACATATACTAATGTAACGAAACAAGTTGATCAAACTGTCCAAAAACTAACCTGCGTCAGCATTCCTAGAACATAACATATATTTCTAAGTGCCTATCACAGCCTACCTCAAGTACATTTTTAAGATGCTTATACCTCTGAACGTACTATACAAATTTATTGTTTTAGGGAAAGGATTTATATCAGGACAAGTGCAATATCATAACAGAAACCGACAGAAAATGAATCGAATTGTTAATATTCTCTTTCTTGTACATATCTCTTCAATATGTACAAGACAGAAAGTAAAAGAAATGAAAGCCTTTTAGAGAAGTACCGTTTTTCCTCATCCCGAAGCTTTGCATCAAACTCTTTGCTTGGAGGATATTTTGGTAGATCTGCTGGATCACAAGGTAGAGGATGTGTACTGAAGAACTGCAATGAACAGAGCCAGATAAAAGATACATGAGCAATATTTATTAGCAAAGGAAACTAAAGACCAGTGTTCTATAAAGACACAGTCGGTAATGATATTTCTGGAAGCTATCTCTACAATTGCATGATCTAATTAGTTGCAAACTGGTGAAACTAACGCAAAACCGGGAGATAGTATTAAACACCATCATGAAGGCACATGATTATGGTATTAAAGGAGAAGCTCAAATTTACCTCACTAGTAAGCGCTGAAGCAGCCGATCCCCGAGTCTCTGGTTCTATTGCAAGGAGTTTTTCAATAAGCCCCAAAGCTGAAGGAGGGAAGTCCTTGAAAGTATCTGCAATACGACGCTTGTAAGGTTGTTGAGGTTTGAAACTAGTTGCGAGGGGTAACTTTGTTTTCTTCCAGAATTCCTCGGATGGTGAACCACAAAGCTTAAAAATTTTATGCATTTGTTCCACCTGAATAGCAGCAATATTAGTTGCCAATGATAACATTGAAGACAATTGTAGAACAATTACTGTATTTACGGAAAATTTGTATGAATAAATATATAAAACTAGAAGATTAGACTCATTCCTTACTTATTTTGGAAGAAAAACCTGGCAGAACAAAGTGACCGCTCGTATAATTTTCAACAATTTTTATCATAAAGCAGGCAGACAAAAAGGACTAATTATTCTAGTCGGGTATCATGCACTTACCGGACCCAGCGGTCACTTGGTTACAGCAAGCATGAAGAAATTCATGAAACTAGGAATGAAAAAAATTAGTTATTTTACAAATTGTCAATATAGTTATAGGAATAACCAATTTACCTCTGTTCTGCCAGGCATGATAGGCTTTCCAGCAAACATTTCCGCTAGGATACAGCCAGTGCTCCATAGATCTATAGAAACTCCATACTCAGTAGAACCAAGCAAAAGTTCAGGTGCCCTATACCACAGTGTCACAACACGACTTGTTAATGGCTGCTTTTGATCAGGCTCATAAAAGGTCGCCAGACCAAAGTCGCCTATCTTGAGAGTTCCGTTGTTGTCAAGCAAAAGATTTGAACCCTTGATATCTCGGTGCAGGACACCTTGACTATGACAGTGTTCTAGTCCACGAAGCAATTGTTGCATATAACATTTTATCTGCTATTCAATCACACAATTATAATCATAGCATATTTTGTTGCAGTGCAACAAGTACATTCAGCTCAAAAGTTATTGAAAAAGGAAAAAGAAGAGTGTGTACCTGTGGTTCAGTAAACTTGATGCCACGTGTTGCTGCTAGACCAGCAAGGTCATGTTCCATATACTCAAAGACAAGGTATAAGTTGCATGACATTCTTGAAGTGACTAGACCCTCGAGCTTCATAACATTTGGGTGATTAAGTCTGCGTAAAATTAAGATTTCTCTTGCCATAAAGCGAACACTTTCTGGGTCCATATTTACAAATCGTACTTTCTTCAATGCAACGATTTTACCAGTTTCCAGGTCGCGAGCTTTGTATACACTGCTATAAGTTCCTTGTCCAATCTGCAAAGAAAACATCCATTGATGTTTAAAATACTTCACCCTAAGGAAAAACTCTTGTCTAGAGCGCACCTACAATCCCCATCTAACGCAAATGATTACATAGCGACCAAGTACATATAGCGCCAATTTCAGTCTATAGTTTTTCATATCAAATGTACAATCCACAAATTCAAAACATGCTATTCTATCTTAATTTCACAATCTGATATCCGTTTGGAAGTAAATAATATGCACGAAACAGAGCAAAAGAATTCAACTTAAAACGATCTCCCAATACAGATGCAGCTTTCTGTAAACATCATACAGAATTACCGTTTCTTTTTTGGGTCAACGACAAAATTACTGTTTTTAGATTTAGGCAAAAGCACATTTCAAAATTCATTAACAGGAAATAATACCAAAACTCAGTAAGGAAGCAACCAGACAATAAGAGAACTGATGCAAGCATTTAAAGCACTACGTAAGAGGCAGTAGGGAAGCAACAATTAGAACTAACTTTGTCTAACTTTTCAAAGGAGTCTGCCCGTCGAGGCACCCACCCTTTGATGGCATCTCCTGCAACCGAAGTTAGCCACGACGGCCATCCAGCAGCAGTTTGTTCTCCTTTTGCCCCATGTGGCATGCTTACTATCCTAGACATCACAGTTTCCCTTTCACTTGCTCCTAAATCCAGGGTTGCCCCTCTTTGATGATTCAAAATCCCTAGCCTTGAGATGACTTTGGTTTTATTATGATCATCTTTACCAGCATTGTTCCCCACATTTGCTTTTGAGGCTGTTCTTGATAACCTGCGCACTGACCCGTCGGCCCCACCACCGCCACCACCTACTTCTGCTACAATGTCATCTCTCAATGAGGGAGTAGGAGCAATCAACTGAACCGAATAATCCTTCAATGGGCGTTCTACTGTATCGGATTCCTTCGCCATTTCCTCTTGCGATGTAGCTTTTGAGCAAAGGCAGCCCATATTTTTGTCACCTCCTAAATCCCCTGTTTCCTATTTCTTCCAAACTAATCACCCCTTTCGCAAATTATTTGAGTGAGAGCTTTTATCAAATAGGTTACCTGCATTTCCTGGGAAACCCAAGAGTTTCCCTCCTCAATCCATCATTTCTCCTTAAATTCTCAATCTGGGTATCTCTCTTTCCAGCCAAAAGTAACCTGAATTCACATATCCGTAAGCATTTGACCCCTACCCAGATACCCAAATTCCACAAAACCTCAAAATCCAGGAAATGGGGAAGGAAAGCTGTCTCTTTCTCTATAAAAAAAAAAAGAAAAAAAAAAGAAGCAGAAAACTGGAAGGTGAGAGAAATTATCCAATCCCAAATGCCAAAACTTGATCAACAATACTTGGACGTTGCTGTGGAGGAGGAAGAATGAATTAATGTACACAAAAGATTGGAGCTTTAGGAATGGGAAACCCAAAAAGCCAGACCAGAAATCCCTGCACCAGAAAATGAAGAAATGAAGTGCCGGTGGAATGCAGAGGAGTTCTGGCTGGCTGGCAGGCAGATTTTCTGAATTTCAATTATCAATTAATTCCCTATAATAATAATAATTAAATTGCTTTTGGTGTGTTGATTGAGAAACCAGAAAGTAGGGAGGGGAGAGAGGAGAGGAGGACATTGATGGAAAATCCCGCCCAAAAAAAAACAAGAAAAAAAAAAGAGAGGAAAAAAAATGAGGGTAGGGGGAGGACGTGAGTTGTGATTTGGAGGTGGGTAGAGAGAGATAGAGATTTGCGTGCGGACATGGCCCCGAGAAACGCGAGGGACCGAAGGTTTTTGGGGGCTTTGACAGGAAGGAAGGAGGGTCCGACTCTGATTCTCTCTCCCCCCCTCTCCAGCTGAGCTGTTGTAGAGAGAGAGAGCTTTTGTAGAGAGAGAGATGTGCAAGAAGCATCGATTCACAGGTACAGAAGGAAGATGTGTAGAGAGAGAAAGAGAGGAGAGAGAGAGTGGAAGATGGATGAGCGAGTGGATTTTGGTCTACGATTACTGACTGCATTGCATGCACTAATCCATGATGAGGACGTGCGTCGCATAATGTTATGCGGTTCTTGCCCTACTCAGCATTATTATTATTATTTTACTTTGCCACGTATTATGAAAGTGACCATTTACTATCCTAGTGGAAAAAATGTTAAGCTCTTCATAACGAGAAATTTTTTATTGTGACAGGAACATGTGCGGTACACCACATGTTTTTATATAAGTGGTGGAAAATTGTATTTTTTAAGTTATTAACTTTTTAGCACACATATTCCATCATTGGTATAGTGACACGTGGTGTACCATCCCGTGTTCTAGTCATACTGAAAAATCTCTCTTGCATAACGACGTGGGTTCAAATCCCTTTGATGGCTAATATAACATTTAATCTAACAAAATCTATTGTATGAAAAAATAAAAATAAAAACTATGCCACATATTGTTTTAAACAAATTTAATAGAATTAAAAATCTGTCATTTGTTGTAGTCATGGAAGAAAATATCGCCGATATATCGTCGATATTTTCGTTTTTTTTTACTTACCGATATTTTAATGAGTATCTAATGAGTTTTCGTCAAAATATTGCGATATTATCGATAATATCGCGATATTCTCGATATTACTTATAATATCGCGATATTAGCTATAATATCGCGATATTAGTCCAAAAATTCCTGAAAATTTGGAAAAGTCTCAATTTTGAGCATAGGGTTCGAACCCCTCCCACTTAACTCCTTAACGCCTTAACCACTGTACCACTTATGTTGTTGTGATATTAAGCTACAATATTTATATATATGGTTTTGTTTTGAATTCTTTTTACAAGAAACAAATTTGCACATATTCCAAATTTTTTGTGGTATTATATTTTAAATTGTGTCAATTAATTACTTAGTCAATGGCATGTGGTTTTTAATTTTTCTATTTTTTATTTGGTCACTTACATGGTAGGGCTGGAAAAAATTCCGGAAAATCCCAAACCAAACCGAAAAAGTCCCAAACCCAAACCGAAAAATCCCAAACCAAAACCATCCTGAAGTTCGGGAATCCCATCCCGAAAAATACCGAAATTTTCAATATGGGATTGGTTTCCAAATCCTATTTGTTTGGTAATCCCGAAAAATACCGAAGTATTCGGTTTCCTATTGACTTTTGGGTTTTGGTTCTTGAAAACCATTGTCATGGTTGCTAACTACTCTTCAAAATACACTCACTCTACACATAGAGATGATGAAGATAGTGAAAATTTTGAACCTCATAGGAACTCTATGCGGTACTAAGCCACTCATGTATCTTACCATGCAATGTATAAAGTGTAAAATATTGTACTAATTCATTATATATAAATGATTATGGTGTGTTTAGACTTCTTTCATTAATTTCTACATATTTTCTACACTCACAATGTTTGTCAGCTCGCTATATAATCAACTTGATAATGTTAAATCCATCATGCAATGCATTTCCTTCCAATTTTTTGTGATAAACTAATAGATAATTGACTAAATAAACATCCTGCAAAGTTTCAATAAAAATTTCCAAGTTTTTCTTACAATTTCCATGGTTTCCATGTAATTTTTATTGATATCGATATTATCCCGATATTTCCATCGATATTTCCGTGTTTTCGGACTACCGATATTTCCGATATTACTGATATTTTCTTCCTTGGTTGTAGTTAATGTCATTTAGGAGTGTGATTCTGTAAATTTATAAGGATAATGCTATGGAAATTAAATTTGTAGACAAAATGTGCAATCTAAATGATGTATCATCAATAAGAATGAACATGTTTATCAATGCTTAAGTCCTAATCTAATCGTCAACTTTCATGTCATTTAGTTTACAAAATTTTGTCTACAAATTTAGTTTCTCTAGCATTATTCAATCTAGAAATAGGATTCCAATAGGATTTTGGATATGTAGTTTCTTTATGACTTGTATTACTTCTAAGGCAAGTAGAGTCTACCTAACTAGTATAAATAAAGGCATAAAGATGCAATGGCATGCACTACCACTGAGCTCTTTCTTTCTGTCTCTCTTTGAAATTGGATACTAGGCGGAATATCCTACAAATAAAAATTAACTTTGCACAGTAGACTAATCAAATGAGCTAGTAAACTAGTTACAAGTTAGTTAGTGATATAAAGTGCAGTTACAAGAACAAAACCTAGCTGACCAATAGTTCAACTAATCAGAGTCTACCCAGATTAGTTTCACAACAATAATTCCTAAGCTTGAAAACATTTACATATAAGTTCATTATGCAAACAACAATGACAAAATAATTATGAATTAAAGTGTTGGATTGACTAGTCAAGCTCACCAGTCAACTAAGTACAGATTCGTCAATTAATCAAACGTAAATCTAAGCATCAAACGTAATTCACTACAAGTTATCCTAGTCAACAACAATTCAATTCATTGTTCATAACATACATTGTAAGATTAGCCTCTAACACATATCAAATAACAATTCATAGGATGCATGAAACATATACAAGAAAATAAGATATGTAGACAAACTTAAGAGACAAAGAACGCAAGAAGTTTTTGGCCGGAAAAACCCACCTCTGGGTTAAAAAACTGGGGACTATCCACTAAGTCCAATCCACTAGTATAATTAAAATTCTTACAAAGTACCACACAAAGCCCAATTCCTAGACCTAGTCTACGAAGCAACTTTGTCTTTGTGTAACCTTGCCTTACACAAGATGGATTCCTTCGGTCTTCACGAAGTGGCAGCTCCTCCTAAGCTCTTCAACTTATGACATCGAAAATGTGATGTCTATAGTCTTCAAAAAATGACAGCTCTTCCTGAACTCTTTACCTTGTGGCACCGAGACCAACACACAAACTATGCATATGATGATATCACAATGATATGCATACCTAGATTCAAATATCTAGTCAGTTTCTTCAGTCAAACTGTTGAAGGAACAAACTGACGAGAATCCAAAAAGAGATCAGCATGAAGATTTGAAACTTGAAAAACTTGACCACAAATTTAAAACAAAATCAAAATGACAATGCAATCCTAATATGCAACGATTTGGGTGTTTAGTGATGAGTGTAATTTTGTGGCTAGGGTTTCTGATGAGGAACACAAAGAGCTAGCTTAAATCTAAAACAACTCTTTTATGAAAATGTGAAACTCCTAGCCAAAAGAAATCAGCATATAAATGAATTTAAGCCAGCAATTTCAAAGATAGATTTAGAAATATTTGATGAAGAACATTACCCATAAAATATGCTTGATGCTCCTAGAAGATCTGAGATAGAGATGAAAAATAAAGCTCTAAAAAACTTTTCCAATCTCAGCCCCAAAAACCAAATGAACCCTAGTAACCCTTTTCAAGAAAGACATGGATATTTCAGATAAAGGAAGCAAGAGACACGTGTCAAGTCCACAAATAATCAAGAAAGATCTAGGGTTAAGAATAACTATCGGGAAAAAGGTGTTAGTTGACCCATGTGGGTTGTCTTAAAGTGTGTGCCCAGCAAACTGGAAAACATTTGGCAAGACAGAACCACTAGACAAAATGAATTGGAAATATTAGCATGAAATGCACATGTAAGAACAAACCTTTGATGTGAGAAAGTTAAGCTCTTGAGATGAATATTTCCAGCAGCATAATCCCAAAAGAAGCATTTTAACCATAAACCTATATAGAGCATGTGTGGTACAAACAAGATTTTACAAGAAAGCTAAACAATAATTCTAGACTTCACACTCTTGTTGTTTTTTTTCTGCCCTCACTCTCTAAATTTCCTTTAACACGTTATCATCACGAATTGTCTCTCTATAGGAAGATCAAGTCAAGAATGGTGTTCAAGCAATTACTATCCAAGTAACCACATCTAAAATTATCTTTGTCAAAGTTATGCATGATCACTATCCATGAAGCATGAATCCTATTTTCAATTTTTTTTTTTTTTGGAAACTGAATCCTATCTTGCTATGTTTGTGATGGATTATTTAAAATTGGATTGCTCAATTACATATCTTTGTGTGGAAACAAAGGAAAGAAAGAAAAAGAAAAAGAAAAAAAAAAAGAAAAGCAAAAATTGTGTGCAAGCCGTGTCTTTGAGCCACGTCGCTCCGAGCCGCGAACAGCAAACCCAGACGCCATATGCATGCATGTCTTCTAAGCCCAAGGCTCCAAGCCCAGACCAGAAACGACATGTCGTTTTTCGACGTGGTCGTCTTCCACAGCCCGGCGGCCGCCATCTCACTGTTATGCAGACCTGGTTGCAATCTCGACCACCTCTGACGATGATATTGTTGCCTCAAAGGTGTTGGTCACCAACCAGTGGACGAACCAAGAGATTCCTTTAATCTCACTCAGATTTGTTGGCCATGCCGTTTTTTCCCACGCCGTCGTCTTATTAAGGACGCGTTTACGTAATCATAATCGAAATCAAAACACGAAATTGAATTCCGATTACGGAATATATCTTTATTTATTAAATTTGGGGAGTAAAAGAAAAGGTGAGACCCACACAAAATTAAAATGATATTTAGATTCCTTAGATTAAAATGATATTTAGATTCCTTATATTAAAATGATATTTAGATTCCTGAATGCTTGGGCAATTGGAATGACACTTTTGTTCTCTTTATACCCTCACTTACTTATTATTTTCAAGACTATCCTTTATAAACTCATTAACCCTAGATTGTCATTTCTCTTTTCACCGTAACTCTCGTCACAATTACGGACAGGTAAGTCCCTACTTCTTCTGTGTTTTTATCTCTATGTTGAATTTTTTGTTTTCAATTCTTCGTGGAAAGGAGTTCATGATGGAGTAATTGGATTCATTTGAATTTTTAGCTTTTAGCCTTGCCACATCCCTGATAAGCACTAAGCCCAATCCTTTGTATTGTCTTCCATGTCGGCACTGAGCATAAAGAACCAACCTCAACCACTTTATAAACTCCAACCTCATCCTTTTTGCCCACATCCCTAACAATGTCCAGCAAGTTGCATTTTTTAGTAGGA